GGGCAATGATAATTCAGACCCCAGAAACTGTAAGGGAAAATCAATAGAATCAGTTGTTGAACATTTGAACATGATTTTCAATGACTCCATTATATTTCATTAAATTGATGGGCCATAATTTACTATCATTCACATGTTGTTGAATATCTGTGTAGTTTCCAATATATTCTTATTTTGAATAATACTTTAATGAACATGTGTGTGTTGAGCGAAGATTTTCTTTGAAAGATCATTATGTACTGAAATCTGTGCTGTCACATTTTTGTTTGACATAAGTGGGTCACTGGCTTAGGTCTGGAAAACTTATTGTTACAAGTGCCCTTTTAAAAATAAACTGTCATAAAGAACTAGAGATTTAGAGATTTGTATGGTTTCTTTTACCACTTGGTGCTCTCTTTGTCCTTCATAGTGTGAAGGTTGCAAAGGTTTTGTGGGCAATGTCTACAATTTTCTGAGTTACGGAAGTTAAAATAAGAATTACCTCCCCGGATCAAAATTTAGCCCAGTAGTCTCTAACAGGCATGAGGAATCAACTAGTCCCCTACACATTTACCCTGACATGATTAGGAATTTGCCCCTCTCCTTAAATTTCTGGGTTTTCTTGATTGTGATAATTCTATTACATGAATTTTGTTAACCATTTTCTAGATCTGTTTTTTCATTTTGTATTTGCATTTAAAAATTATTTTTTAAAATGTCAATAGTTTTTTGGGTACAGATGGATTTGGTTCCATGGATGAATTCTTTGGTGGTGAATTCTGAGATTTTAGTGCACCCATCACTTGAGTAGTATACACTGTACTCAATATGTTTTCTTTTATCTCTCACCTCCTCATAGTCTCCCCACCCTTGAGTCCCCTAAGTCCATTATATCACTCTGCATGTTTTTGTGTGTGTGTGTGTGTGTGTCCTTATAGCTTAACTCTCAGTTATAAGTAAGAATATACAGTATTTGGCTTTCTACTCCTGAGTTACTCCACTTAGAAAAATGGCTTCCAGCTCCATTCAAGTTGTTGCAAAAGGCATTATTTTATTCCTTTTTATGGCTGAGTAGTATTCCATGGTGTATATATACAAGATTTTCTTTATCCACTTGTTGGTTTATGGGCACTTATTTTGGTTCCATATCCTTGCAACTGTGAACTGTGCTGCTGTAAACATGTGTGTGCATGTGTCTTTTTTACATAATGACTTCTTTTCCTGTGGGTAGATATCCAGTAATGGGATTGCTGAATCAAATGGTAAATCTACCTTTAGTTCTTTAAGGAAATTCCATACTGTTTTCCATACTGGTTTTACTAATTTACATTCCCATCAACTATGTAAAAATGTTTCCTTTTCACCACATCCATGCCAACATCTATTGTTTTTTGGCGTTTTAATTATGGCCATTCTTGTAGTAGTAAGGTGGTATCTCATGGTTTTAATTTGCATTTCTCTGATGATTAGTGCGTTGAGCATTTTTTCATATGTTTGTTGGCTATTTGTATATTTTCTGTTGAGAAATGTCTATGCATGTCCTTAGCCCACTTCTGATGAGATTGTTTGTATTTTTCTTCCTGATTTGTTTGAGTTCCTTGTAAATTATGGACACTTGTCCTTTGTCAGATGCATAGTTTGCAAATACTTTCTCCTGTTCTTTGGGTTGTCTATTTACTCTGCTTATTTATTTTGCTAAGCAGAAGTTTTTTTTAGGTCCCATTTCTTTATTTTTGTTTTTGTTGCTTTGTTTTTGGGTCTTAGTCATGAATTCTTTGCCTAAATCAATGTCCAGAAGAGTTTTTCCAATATTTTCTTCTAGAAGTTTTAGGGTTTCAGGTCTTAGATTTAAGTTTTTGCTCCATCTTGAGTTGATTTTTGTATTAAGTGAGAGATGAGGATCCAGTTTCATTCTTCTGCATGTGGCTTGCCAGTTTTCCCAGAACCATTTATTGAACAGGATGTCCTTTCCCCAATTTATGTTTTTGTATGCAAATACTTCACAACCAAAGATCAGTTGGGTGTGAAGTATTTGGCTTTATTTCTGGGTTCTCTATTCTGTTCCATTGGTCTATGTGCCTATTTTTATGCCAGTACCATGCTGTTTTGGTGTCTATGACCTTAAAGGATAGTTTGAAGTCAGGTAATGAGATGTCTCCAGATTTGTTCTTGCATAGTCTTGCTTTGGCTATGTGAGTTCTTTTTTATTCCACATGAATTTTAGGATTGTTTTTTCTAGTTCTGTGAGGAATCATGAATTGCATTGAATTTGTAGATTGCTTTTGGCAGTATGGTCATTTTCACAATATTAATTCTACCCATCCATGAGCATAGGATGTGTTTCCATTTGTTTGTGTCATCTATGATTTCTTTCAGCAGTGTTTTGTAGTTTTCCTTGTAGAGATCATTCACATCCTTGGTTAAGTGTGTTCCTAGGAATTTTATTTTATTTTATTTTTTGCAGATGTTGTAAAAGGGATTCAGTTCTTGATTGGATTCTCAGCTTGGTCACTGTTGATTGATAGCAATGCTACTAATTTGTGTACATTGATTTTGTAACCCAAGACTTTAGTGAATTCATTTTTCAGGTCTAGGAGCCTTTTGGATTAGTCTTTAGAGTATTCTAGCTACACGATCGTATCATCAGCAAACAGTGACAGTTTGACTTCCTCTTTTCCAACTTGCCCTTTATTTCTTTTCTTTTCAGATTGCTCTGACTAGGACTTCCAGGGCTATGTTGAATAGAAGGGTTGCATGTGGACATCCTTGTCTTTTTCCAGTTCTCAGGGGGGAATGCTTTCAACTTTTCCCTATTTAGTATGATGTTGGCTGTGGGTTTGTCACAGATGCCTTTTATTACTTCGACGTAAGTCCCTTCTATTCCCTTTTGTTGAGGACTTTCATCAGAAAGCAATGCTAGATTTTATCAAATACTTTTTCTGCATCTATTGAGATGATAATATGATTTTTGTTTTTAATTCTGTTTATGTGATGTATCACATTTATTTACTTGCATATGTTAAACCATCCCTACATCCCTGGTATGAAATTCACTTGATCATGATGTATTATCTTATTGATGTCTTGTTGGATTCAGTTACCTAGTATTTTGTTAAGAATGTTTGCATCTATGTTCATTAAGGATATTGGTGTATAGCTTTCATTTTTGTTATGTTCTTTCCTGGTTTTCATATTAGGATGATACTGCCTTCATAGAATGATTTAGGAGTAGCCCCTCTTTTTCTATCTTTTGGAATAGTTTTAGTAGGACCGGTACCAATTCTTTGAATATCTGGTAAAACTCAGGTGTGAATTCATCTGATTTTAGACTTTTTTTGTTGTCAATTAAAAAAATTACTGAGCATCTATTTTTAAAATCTGTATATCTCTTGGAATAATATGCTCCATAGTTACAAGTCGGCAGCATAGACAACATAACTGAAGTGTCCTTAGCTATGTTTTTTTGTTGTTGTTGTTGGAAGTGAGGGTGTGGCTACTTTGGGTTTTTTTTTTTTTTTTTTAACCATCTAAAGCCAGATTTTATAGAAACTGAATTGGTTTTGAAGAACCAGAAGACCCAGCAGCTACTCTAGGTTTCCACAGAGAAATGAACCAGTGAGAGAAGAGGGAAGCTTTTCTAAAAATGTGAGATTTATGGAGGGTTGCTTGTGTATGTGGTTTATTTTCTTAAGTTAGAAAAATAGACAACGTGCTTTCAGAAATGAAAACTTCTGTTATGGTTACTATTAGAAAGAAATTTGATGGAACATTCTTCCTTGTTTGTTTCAGCTACCCAGGGACATTACCCGCAGCAGCCAAGTTGCCTGGAAAAGGATGCCGAGCATTGAAGACTTTCTGGGTGTGCCCCTCACTTCGAAAGGTGGAATGATTTATCAGTAGACACTGTGACAAAAATAATCCTAACAACTGGACTGTCAAGATTTGTAGCAGCTACTCACACCTCAATCCTCTTCTTTATTTTTTTTAATTTCATAGATTTTTTTTTATTATACTTTAAGTTCTAGGGTACATGTGCACAATGTGCAAGTTTGTTACATATGTATACATGTGCATGTTGGTGTGCTGCACCCATTAACTCATCATTTACATTAGGTATATCTCCTAATGCTATCCCTCCCCTCTCCCCCCACCCCATGATAGGCCCCAGTATGCGATGTTCCCCTTCCTGTGTTGAAGTGTTCTTATTGTTCAATTCCCACCTATGAGTGAGAATATGCGGTGTTTGGTTTTCTATCCTTGTGATAGTTTGCTCAGAATGATGGTTTCCAGCTGCATCCATGTCGCTACAAGGGACATGAACTCATCCTTTTTTATGGCTGTATACTATTCCATGGTGTATATGTGCCACGTTTTCTTAATCCAGTCTATCATTGATGGACATTTGGGTTGGTTTCAAGTCTTTGCTATTGTAAATAGTGCCACAATAAACATAGGTGGGCATGTGTCTTTATAGCAGCATAATCTGTAATCCTTTGGATATATACTTAGTAATGGGATGGCTGGGTCAAATGGTATTTCTAGTTCTAGATCTTGAGGAATCGCCACACTGTCTTCCACAATGATTAAACTAGTTTACAGTCCCATCAACCATGTAAAAGTGTTCCTATTTCTCCACATCCTCTCCAGCACCTATTGTTTCCTTTTTAATGATTGCTGTTCTAACTGGTCACACCTCAATCTTCTAATAGCCCATTTATAAGGCATTTTAAAATATAGCTTCTGATAAAATCATTGGTCCAATCTATTCATTATAACTATATTTTCATAAGTAGAGTCTTCATGCATTCTAATAATATGCTGCATAACACTGACATCTTGTCTTAAGTCATATAAAATAAAACTTCCCAACTGCTTATTGCTATCTGTTAGACAAAGGGGAGGGAAGGCCTCCTTTATGAATTTAAATCTTCTTAAGAAGTCTAGTAGAATTACTGTAAAAGTGATATCTAGGTTCCAGTTTAGACAGTAAAATCACACAAAGCAAAGATGGCCATACTCACTCATTGGGGGTGCCCTTCTGGCCACAAAAGTGGCCCTGGCTGTCTGTAGGATAGGCTGCTCTTCTGGGGTCCCCATGTACCCAGGCTGCAGGAACAAGAAAGGACAAAAATGCTATCAGCAAAAGCTGGCTAAAGGCAGTTTGCTTTGAGATATTAGAATGCACCACTGCAACACACTAACCTCTCCCCTCAGTCACAGATTATTGATTTTCTTCAAAGAATAATTTCTTAATGAAAAGTAAAATAAAATATGGATGAATCAGTCAGAAAGCACATTGCTCTTATTCTCTCAGGATTTAGCTGGGTTGTAGCCAAAACATGAGGTAATGCACTTAGAAAATGACATTTATTAAAATGTGAATTAGAGGGCACATTATAAAAGCTCACTTGGCTAGAAGTCACTTTTTCTAAGGCTCAAAACTAAATGACTTCATAGCAGACCTAATACATTTACAGTAAATAATATGATGTAATACTTTTGAGTTATGCATAAGTGAAAACCATTAAAAAATTCAAAAGAATGAAACTATAATGCCCAATTCAAATTTCCTAGTTCTTTATGATTTTATGTGACATTATAAAGGCAAACAATAGCAACTGCGGAGGCAATATGTAATAAAGACTTACCCTAAGTTTTGTCTGACAATCTCAGAGCTTAATAGAAGTATCAAGTGATCTCAAACTTCATGAAAACAAAAGACTTGATTTTCTATGAAGACGATGGGCTCAAACACATCACCCTTATTTTTTAAGAATTATAAAATTAATTTGACAGACCATAGGACCACAGAGAGTAACATACATTGGTCAATTAGGAAACGCTTTCTAATTTTAGTCGAATATTTCTAACTTCTCCAGTTTGACTGATAACAGTTCCTAAAAATCCGGAAAATGTGCTCAGGTCATCTAATGCTTGCCTCTGAATATGGAAACATACCTCTTTGTCCTTTGTTTCCTTTAACATTTGCCCGGCTGTCTCCTTCCCCACATTTATTGGATTTGACATTTCACGTTATAATTCAATCACTCTTATGTATATGGCCTGTGTGACTTGGGAAGATTTTAAAAAATCAATTCTGAATGAGAATTTTAATATGGAAGAAAAATTTTTCTCAATAATTTTTCTCATTAATCTAAGACTTTCTTTTTAGTATCTAAGCACTCACAAAAGTCCCCTTTGTCTAATTCTTTCTCCAATGTCACAGAGGCCAAATTGGTTTCATCTTCTAATACCGTCTTATTAAATCTGACTCATTCGGGTAGCTCTCAGCTGCCATATCTTCCCGTCTCTATTTCCCAGAATAAAGAAAGTGGACTACAAATAAGGCATTTAAATAACGAACTGTTCAATGTATGATGCCTCCAGACCATATATTATTACATTCTGCTTCTATATCTTAGTTTGTCATGTTTTGGCTAAATCTAAGAAAGATATTTATTTTACCTATTTTTTCAGTAATATGTTTTTAAAGCTTTATTCTAAAATGTCTTTTTCTTTTTTTCTATACAATTATTAATTCAGAAATGAGCACCCAAAGCATTTGGATTGCTATATTTTCCCTGAGTGAGTCACTTAATTATTTTGAGTTTTGACTTTCTAATTTGTTACTACAGAATGAGTATAATAATACCCAATCCCACAAGAATGTTGAGAATATAAAAGAAGATAATGAAAGCAGAGTGACTAACATGGTGCTTGGCATAAAATATGGACTCAGTAATATTAGTTCTTGTCTTATTTGGGTTTCCCCAAAAGTGAAATCCAAGACAAGAACTTTGATGCAGGTGGTTTATCTAGGAGGTGATTCCAGGAAGCTTAAGTGGGTATGAGGGAGATGAGACGGAAGGGAGCAAAGCCAATCAAGTGCCTGTTAATGAGTGGAATACTGTTGTGGGCAGCTGGGGCTCCATCCCACTGGGAAACTTCTGCAGAGCAGTGTGAAAGATGTCTGTCAGTAGAAATTGTAAAACTGCCCACCACAGCTGCAAAAAACTCAGTTGGGTCAAGGGGAAGCAGGGTCAGGTATCCCCAGCGTCTGCTATTGTTTTCTTTCCCTTTTTCATCATCAATTAATTAACTAAAGGATTTACTAAATGATCACTATGTGTCCCACACTAGAAGTCATACCAATGTGAATTTATGGCAGAGTTCTCAAGAAATACACGAAAAGGGGAGAATAAAGTTTGCAGAAGGTTTAGAGAACAGGTGAGACTTGAGAAAGACTTTAAAAAATGATTAGGATTTGGACATGTGGCTGGAAGTAGGGAACGATTTATAGATTGAGGAAATAGTATAGTAATAAGAGCTTTCATTTATTAATTGCTCACAATGTGACAGATGCTGTGCTAACTTGATTACACCCATTGTCTCAGCGGAGTCTCACAGCAAGCCTAAAAGGTAGGTGTTACTTTCACCTGAATGGTATAGATAGCTGCAGCTCAGAGTTTAATTTACTACTCAAAATCACACAACTTTAAGTGAGACAAACAAAGTATGAACTCAGGTGTGTTGCTTGCTTTCTATAGCCTGTGGTTTTCACCACCAAACTAGAAAGGAATAATGCTTTCTGCAAAAGGATAGAGCAGGAATGAGCTTGTTAACAGGGGGAAAACAAGGACATCAGCTAAATAAGGATCAGCAAAATGCTCATAACATAGGAAAAGAGATGACAGGCAATTTTGGAGCTTTTGCCATTTGGGGAGAAAAGCTTCATACTTGTGGCGGGGGGAGAGGGGGCATATCTGATTGGGATGGATCTGAGTGTCTGGGGATAAAGGAGAGGGAGATGAAGATGGAAGGGTCAAGAGAAGAATACTCCTTCTTGACTTCCTAGTTTTGAACTGTGGCAGGTGGTTGTGTTTACCGAGCCGCTGCTACACCTCTCCACACAGCTTCTGGCGCAGAAGTTGTGCTGCAGATGGTCTGTGTTTGAATTGGAACATAAAGACTTTGAGCTAAAAGCTACAAAAAAGAGGAAAAAAGGAGATGGGCAGCAGCTATCATTTTGTCCCTGTTAATAAATTAAGGAGCTTCTGACATTTTAATCCGTTCCTTGGAATTTTTCTATTCATGGAATATCCAAAACTATGCTGTCCAATATGGTAGCCACTATCCATGTGTGTATTCAGCACTTGAAATGGCTTCTCCAAATTGGAACATACTGTAAATGAAAAATACACATCATATTTTAAAGACATTATAAACAACAACAAAGAAGAATATCTTAATTTTTATATTGGTCACATTTGAAATATTTTGTTATATTTAAGTAAATAAAATGTATTATTATTATTAAATTTATTTTCACCTGTTTCCTTTTATGCTCTTAAATGTAGCTATCATAAAATTTAACCATACAAATGTAATTCACTTTATGTTTCTCCTGGACAGATCTGTTCTAGTGCAAAGAGCAGTGTCAAGGACTTCTTATATAAGGTCATTAAGAGGAGCTATAACATCACCAGTTTGTATGACAGTCATTCTCAAGCACATCATACCCAACACACCCTTTTTTATAATAGTTTACAATGCTCCTTGTACAATCTTGAAGGAATAGTCACAGATAACATATTTCAGCCACACTCATAATTTCCTTTAAAAAGTCAATAAAATATCCTATGTAATATAAATGAAAATAATAAAAAGAAAGTAATTTATAATTAAACAGCATGCACATCAATATGCAAATGCTCAAATGTGACCAAACTGGAAGAGATGTGAGAAGTCAAGTGCTCACACGTACAGGTGGAATCACTGTGAATGTAGCAGCTTTAAGTGCAGGAGGAAATACATATATTGGATAGGAAAATCAAATACAAGTGGTGTTTTTAATTATATAATTTTCCTAAATGAACAAATTTTAACAAATTCTAACAACAAAAATGTAGAATCTTCTTTCAAATTCCCTTGGTACTTATTAAAATCATGCAAAATAACTTTTGTTACTTTATTTTTGTATTTTTATTGATATAGTTGTACATATCTTTGGGGTACATGTGATATTTTGATACATGTATACAATGTTTAAAGATCAAATCAGGTAATTGGAATATCTATCACCTCAAACATTTTTCTTTGTGTTGGGAACACTACAATTCTTGTCTTCAAGCTATTTTGAAATATACAATAAATTATTGTTAACTACAGTTTCCCTACTGTACTGTCAGATACTAAAATTTATTCCTTTGAGTGGTATATTTGTATTCATTAACCAACTTCTCTTCATCCCTCCCTCCCTCATCCCCTTCCCAGCCCCTGCTAACTACCATTCTACTCTGTACCTCCATGAGATCCACTTTTTTAAGCGTTTGTAATTTTAGAACAGAATTTCTAAATTCAAATATGTGAAAACAGGTTTTCACCTACATCAGTGGGACATGGGAAAGTCAGGCAGAAAGTAAGGTGTAGGCGTAAGCCACCTTGAAAGCACATTCTCCACCTTACTGAAGCCTTCAGTTGACTGCAGCTTTGGCTTACATCATGACCACAACGTAAAGAACCTGGAGCCAACACCACCCAACAAAGCCGTTCCTTTATTTCTGACCATGGAAATTGTGAAATAAGAAATATTTGTTTTTTAAGTTGCCAAGTTTGAGGGTAATTTACAATGCAGCAATAGACAATGGATTATTATACAGTTTTTTAAAATCTTTTTTTTTAGTTCTTCAGAATTTATCTTATAGCTAACTTTTTTACCCTTTGGCTTATATATTGAATTAATGTATAGTATCCCCAAACAGTTTCCTTTACATACAACTTATAAAGTGTATGTTTGTATGTATGTACATATGTATGTATGTATGTATTTTTATTTCAATAGGTTTTTGGGGAACTGGTGGTGTTTTATCACGTGGATAAGTCCTTTAGTGGTGATTTCTGAGATTTTGGTGCACCTGAGCAGTGTACATTCTACCCAATGTGTAGTATTTTATTTCTCAACCCCTTCCACTTTTTCCCTAAAGTCTTCGAAGTACATTGTATCATTTGTATGCCTTTGCATCCTCATAGCTTAGCTTCCCTCTCTAAGTGAGAACATATAACGTTTGGTTTTGCATTCCTGAGTTACTTCACTTTGAATGATGGTC